ATCTCACCCCCAACTGCCCTCCCCTGCTGGCCTGATCACCCCTAACTGCCTCTGCCATGGCCCCCACCACATGGCTTTGTCCAGAAGGAAGTCAGATGTCTGGAAGATGCCCTCCTCTGCTGGCCTGATCTCACTCCCAACGGCCCTCCCCTGCCAGCCTGATTGGCATATTACCCTTTTACTAGTATAGATAGACTAGAGGCCCAGTGCACAAAAATTCGTGCACTCAAGGGGGGGGGGGGCCCCCCAGTCCAGCCTGCACCATGCCTGGCCTGAGATCAGGGCCTATCAGGGCTTTCATTCCCCCAGCTGCAGGCAACTGGCCCACCCCTGCCGCTGCCAATGCTTGCCATCTGTGCAGCACTACCCCCCCTCCCCTGCCACCAGTGACCTCCCTCTGCAGGCGACAGGGTGGAGTGCAATCCCTTGGCTGGCCTAGGACTCCCTCTTTCTTTGCTGGGAGGCAGGGCCAGCCCTGAGAGGGGCTGTCTGCCTACCTGATCATCCCTAACCACTGGCCTGCCTACCTGATCACCCCTAATCACTCTGCCTGCCTGCCGGATTGCCCCTAACCTCTTGCTTGGGGGCGGGGCCAACCTGGCAAGGGGCCATGGTGGTCTGGTCTCTAGTCATTCTGGTCGTGATGCCTGGCCTTTTATTAGTATAGATATTCACCCAACATCATCAGAGCATTTAAATATATAAGGCACATACTAACTGATCCGAAGGGAGACATAGACAGTAATCAGTAATACCTCACTTTTAACAATGGATAGTTTATACAAGCAGGAAATAGATAAGAAAACATTGAACTTTATATCAAACATTGAACTTTATAGCACCTCCCACTGCTAGTATTATATATATCTACACTAATAAAAGAGAAACATGGTAATTGGCGTACAACCGCTACCCTTTTCATTGGCTAATCAGTGAGTATATGCAAATTAACTGTCAGCCAAGATGGCGGCCGGCAGCCAGGCACTGAAGCGAGCATGAGGCTTGCTTGCTGC